CGATTACTAGGTAGGAAACGATGCGATGATAATTTTCATCAATTTAATACATTAATTGGCTCAAGCCTTTCATACACATTACAATTGTTCTTTAAGTATCTATCTGAATGTATATCTCAGAAGTTTTCCTAAAAACTAAACTATCCCGCGACGATATGAAGTCAAGTTGACCTATAAACTAATATGACACCTGTGACGAACGTGTTCATTTCACATATGATTTTCATCTTGTTGATATTTGCTTTCTGAATAAACATACATATATATTGTATTCTATCTGAATAATCCTTAATCTGTTTGTCGTTAACTATTTTCCTTTTATTGCAGGCACATATACCCCAGACATAATCAACATGAAGGAAAGCTCTGTGTTAATGAGCTTAGCCCTAATTCTATGCTCAGCAGTTCACATGACCCATGCAGCTTATAAAATTGGAGTAGGTCGAGCGGATTGTACGGGACCATCAGCAGAAATTACTTTCGTGAGTGGATGTAAATTTATATCTGAGCTTGTATGATGCATTTTTTTAAATAAGCCCCGAAACTCGTCATTTCATTTGCAAGTCGCACGTCAATCTTGATATTATTTCAGATGGGCTATGCCAAAGCTGGGCAAAGGGGCTGTGGAATTCATTTGAGGCAATATTCCCGAGCTTATATTTTCGATGATGGGAAGAAAAGAGTGGCATTCGTCACCGTAGATGCATGCATGATGAACCACGGGATTAGGAAAGCAGTGAGTGGAAGCTATAAACATTTCTTTCTCAGATAGTTGCATTCAGTAAAATCAATGACAATTAGGGAAATTTTGAAAAACTGTAATGCTCGGTATTCAAGTTTTCAATGTTATTTTGCAAGATGTAGAATATTCAAGTTAGTCGTCTCAGAGGATGAAGAAAGTCTCTCCACATATCGTAGTTATTTCATTATAAACCTCGTGATCAATATGAAAAAATTGCATTATTCTGTTCTTTGATACTTGTCATTTATGATCTTACATTCAAACTAGCTGCTTCTGCAGATTATTTTGTCAATGATTTATAACATGAATATTACTGGAGTTTTTTTCCCAACACCAAATCGTTATTTTTACACCTCAACACGTGTTTCGATCACCAAGTGATCATCTTCAAGAGGAAGATAAAACTAATAACTACTCAAAACTAAAGCATACACAACTCCTCACTATTGTTCTTCATTATGCAAGACATGAAACACCAGCAAAAACTCACTGAAGTGAGTTTTATTTTGTTCGCTGCACTATAACTTTTTCACTCACAAAATAAAACCTTA